GAGCTTTTTGATATGCTCTGCAGTATGCAAATACTGGTAGTTTTTCTTCACGGCTGCTTACTTCTTCGCTGATTGCAGTTTCACCCCTGGTGTTGCCTTTGTTTACTCAACTATATATTTACACATTGTTTTTAGAAACCCAAACCGAGACAAAAGTATAAAAAATGTGGAAAAAAGTAAAAAAATAAAACTGATCTTTGACAATAAATGTGGATCAGATAGAAAACGAATCATTGCAATGACACACGTGTGTTTTTCCACTATTAAAGTTTTTATTTTAATCATTACACGTTGACGATATTGTAGCAGTATGACTGCTCTGATTGCATTACAGCGCCATATTTAAAACATGTGACTAACTCAGACTCTAACTAGGTGGTTTTTGTATATTCATTGTGTTTTACTCACCTCTCTCCTGTTCGTCCTCCTGGTTGCTCTCCTCTACAGGCTTCTCAGCATCTTTGTCATCCCTCTGTCTAGTCTCACTTCCTGAGGGGACGCTGGTGTCAGATATTTCTATCTCCGTGCTGTCCCCGGCACTGTCCATGTGCGAGTCTTTGCCCGCAGAAAACTCAGCTTCTGTGCCAACATCTTCTTCTGGATTTGGTTCATCTTTTTCCTCGGGCTGAGCGATGGTTTCCTCCTCTTTCTGTTGCTTTGCCTCATTGTCCTCGTTGATGTCTCTTGTGGCTTCAGCATCACTCTCCTCGTGCTCGCTGCCTGAGGAGCTGGAGCCTGAATGAGATCTCATGTCTGCGAGAAAGTTACACATGAACACCAATAAATACTCTACAAGAAGGAAAATGCACATTTAAACATTTCAAAAGAAAAAAAAAGTAATTAAAATACTTTGTGTCTTAAAATAAAAGATTTTAAATATTTAAACATCGTACAGGGATTTAAGCTTTATGTACAACTAAGCTGATTCACCCACCATCCCTGTCATCATCGTCAGGCTCAGAGGCATCCCTCTCTTTAACCTCTGTTTCACTGGTTGGGCATTTCTCTTCTTTCGCCTCCTCTGCAGCTCCTTCGTCGTCTGCTTCAAAGTCTTCTTCATAATCTGAAGCAGAGAATTACAGATACAGACTTCGGTATGCACGGCACACAAATCTTTAGTTTGTGCTCAGATGCACCAGGTTTTGTACCATCTCTGCCTTTTTGCTCAGCGAGCGCTCTTCCTTCTTTGACTGGAGTCTCCATGTTCTGCGGCTCACTGGTTCCACCCTCCAAGTGGGAGCCAGCATCCTCCCCAGTCCTCGCCGTCTCCATCTCACCTTCATCTTTTGGGCTGTTGACTGATTCCTCTCTTCTTGTATCCTCCTTGATCCTCTTTGGTGGAGGAGTGGGCTTTTTGTCCAGTCCCATTGCTATGATGCATCTGAACAATGAGCGAGAAGTCTGTTTAAAAAGTCATTTTGTTCCTGTTTAAATCAATCAATCAATAAACCAGAGAACGAGTGGGGTGCATTCAAACCACCACACTGAACACAGTAATCTGTTGTAGTTCATTTATATTCTAATTTCACTTTAATCATCAATATGCAGGGATAATCTTGTTGAACAAACTGTGCATCACAAAGTTTCTTTCCACAGAGCTTTTTTTTATTTTGTGGATTTATCCAAAATCCCAC